CACACACACACACACAAGGCCAGTGGAGCAGGGCATAGGGACAGATGTTGTAAGCACAGTGTATGTCTCTCTCTTGACTGCCTCTATAGAGGAACTAAAGCTGGAAAGGGTACTCGGGGAGGGGAGTGATAAAGTGCGACACACTTGTGACTGCAAGCCAGGGGATTTTCAGCAGTGAGTAATGGAGCTGTGTGCAGTGATAAAACCAGTCTCCAACCAAATGCTGCCTGAGACCTAAAACATATAGAGGACCTAAAAATAAATGTACAATGCTATATGAGTTATATAGGTGAGTCGAGATCCTATCCAAGCCATATTTCACCTGAAAATCAACAGAAGCCTTTGCGATCTTTTGCATTGCGACGTAATTTTTAAAACATTACAAATTATCATTACCAAAATGTATCCATTTTTTTCTCAGTAATGTTTCTCATTTGATTTTTTAGATTTTTTTTTTTTGCCAGTAGCTTTCATTATTGCATTAAAAAAAAAAACATTTATTTATAGGCCCTGTGCTAAATGGCATACTTGTGGCCTTGTGATGGGCATTGCTGACTGTTTCTCTGCTCCAGTCTTGGGCACTACCAGAATGTTTTAGATGTCTCACTAATTAAAACACTCACCAGATTCAACTTACATCTAAAACATTCTGGAATGTGGGTCCCGAGGACTGGAGTTGAAAAACACTAGACTGTAGGGTGTCTCATTTGCTATTTTATGACTCGGAAGTGGCTCACGCCCCCTTTTTGGCTGCTTTTGGATGCACTGGGACTTTTCACTGTTTGTGTCACTCTGTTTGCCCCAGTCAGACTGTCAGTCTGTGCATTAGGAGTGGGAATTTTCCAGTGACTCTTTCTGAAGTTGCGCTGATATGCCAGTAGGTGTCAACAGAAAACTGTCATTATTTACATTTTTGTGAAAACTGTAGATTAATTACTCTGCATTTAAATAAGATCATCAGACATCATGTTTTCCTATTTAAGTTAGAGGAATGATTTATGAGTGAGTCATTGAATCGTTTACTCAACCAGTTCCATTAAATACTTATTTATTCAGGAATGAAACACAGGAATGAAACCTGAGACCTTTGTTAGGAACTATTTTCACTGCAACACTTTGCCTAAAATGTAAGTTACTCAATTTTAACTTATTGTTATTGTACAGGAATATCACACTAGCAAGTTTGTTGTTGTTCTGAATATCAGCATGTCTGTGATGCAGTCACAGGTATTTATAGTCGTGCTGATATCCAGAAAAACAACACTGTTGCTTGTGTCATTTTGTTTAATTATGTCACCAAGGCTAAACCTTATAAAATCTTAAAAATCCTTACATCTCATTAAGCAGCTTTGCATTTGGGGAGTGTTTATGCATACTGTATGTATGCTCACTAGGTTTTGAAACAGCAAAAGAATGTGATGAACAGAACCACATCAAAGAGTCACCTTCAGATTAAGATTAATTCCAGGAGAAACAAGCGCTCGCTCACACACACACACACACACTGCTCTCCCTGCATGTGTGATTTAAGAAAGCTCTGAGTTAGTGTTTATGCATACTGTATGTATGCTCACTAGGTTTTGAAACAGCAAAAGAATGTGATGAACAGAACCACATCAAAGAGTCACCTTCAGATAAAGATTAATTCCAGGAGAAACAAGCGCTCGCTCACACACACACACACACACACACACTGCTCTCCCTGCATGTGTGATTTAAGAAAGCTCTGAGTGGGTCATTTCCTGACTCTATAAATGCATGTAGTGTCTCAAATCACACTATCACTTAATAAGAGCAACTTCACCTCATATTATACATACCATTATGCAATGCTACACACAACAGAAACATCCTCTATGCAAGGGTAAAAATGCATTGCAAGCATGTCTGCGGCATTAAACTGGATGTACTATTACTCAGGTAAAATGTTGTAAACAGTGTAACTAACTTGCTCAGCAATATTCACTTCAAACTATTGCTCCACAGAAAACTGACCGTAGAAGATGACAGTTCACACTAATGGCAACACTAATGCGTTTAGATTATAATACTAGCGTATTTGGATGCTGAACACTGTCCAATAGGCTATAAACTATATGCTGCCTAATATAAAAAAAAAAAAAAAAAACAAGTAGCATTTGCAATTTCTGTCTGAAAGCAGTGGTGAAGAGCAGCAGTTGGCAAGCTGACGGCTCGTGACAGGCTGAGATTGTAAATGTGAAGTGGCCGCAGCTGTTACCTCTCTGTCAAAAACACTTCCATTCAACTGTGCCCAAAACTTTATCTTACAGATCAAGTACAAACAGGAAAATAAAATTAAATGCATGCCGTCCAAACCGCTGCTGTCATCAGGGATACATAATTGTGACTTTGAACACAGATTTGTCTGTCAATGAAAACGAAGCTTTCATTAAGAGAATACTCTTCTTGTTAGAGCTTGCTGGCCAATACAAATATCAAATATCACTACTACTTATTCTCACAATTAGATTTTGAACTCCCTGTTTTACAGTTATAAAAGATTAGATTTTTGTTTTAAAAATGTATTTATTTTTGCAATGAAATGTAAAAAAAAAATAAAAATACTAAGTGAATTTGATTTAAAATAATTAACATTTTTGCATTATTATTTAAAATGTAATACATTTTAATATAATATAGTTGGATAAAATGCAATATTTACTTTTTGTACATGGCCAAAATCAATTAAGTTCAATTGATATACATGGAAGGGTTTATTATCTTTTAAATCTTTTAAATAACTTTTACAGGTATACAAGATATAAATATGAAATAAAAAAATATTTATAATTTATATTTTTTATTATTGTTAAAAAAAAATATGTAAACATTTAAAAAACTATATAAAAATGTGTCTTTATTTAAAATTGAATACATTTTAAAATATATTTAATATATAGTTGTATATAATAAAATAATTAGAATAGTATATGATATAATAGTAATAACAGCTTTGCAGCGGAAAACTCTATACTTTGGCTGGCAATGAGTGCGACCGTGAAAAAATGTTGGAAAGCAATTAAATTATTATTTTCTCCTAGTGATGAACCCAATACGACTCCTGCATATTACTGTGCGGCAGAAACAGTGTTTTTCCAACAGTGTTAGTGAAGATGTTTATGAAAGTTTTCTTTCTTCAAAAGGCTTTTAATTAAATAGCGAAAGGAATGTCACACATTTGAGAAACATTCGCTCTGTAATTAGCGCCGGTCCAGTCGACGACATTCCGACTTTCAGTAAGCAGCCATGAACTTCCCCTCCACAAACTTCACTCGATGCTTTTCCAATTAAAGAGAGCATTCCACAGTTTCTGGTCCGACCACTAACTCAAGCAAACAGCACTGAATAAGATCTGTGTGCCGCCCGCAGACACCAAACAACTCATTTCACTAAATCAAAAGGCAAAGTTTCCATTTTCACAACCACAACATTCCCACCAGCAGCTCCACCCACGCATTCACCAAAATGTTATTAGTAGTTTTAAGGAGGCCACAGTGAATCTCTTTAAAACATGTCATATTTCACCCTAAAATTGTAAGAAATACAAGATCATATTTTGCGTAACAGAAATAAAGGTTATTTGTAAGACAATTTAATTAATTAATTATTTATTTATTTATTTTGAATGTTTTTTATTTTATTATTATTATTATTACATTCTATTCAAAATTTTTATATATATACATATACATTTCCACCAAAATATGTATTTTATTGTTTTTTTTTCATTTCTAATTATGGTGATACTTATTGTTGTTGTTTTCTATAATAGTCACATTTTTATTTAAATACAGTAAAACTAAATGATGGATTTATTTAGAAATCAACATAAATTAATGAAGTGGCACAAATTAATAAATAAAAAAAGTAAAAATGTAATGTTATGTATTTAAAATTATTATTTCACATGTTTTTTTTTTCACATTCACAAAGTAATGAGAAGTTAGGTGCGAAATATGCTTAACTTTCATGTATTATTTCAAAATAACGATAGTCCTAAAAATAGGCTTAATTTTCTTCTAAGGCCATGTTCACACGTACATGGGTATTTTTATAAACTGAGTTTTTCCTTCTTCCGTTTTTAAAAAAATCTCCGTCCACATGAAAACGCAAACGCAAGCTATGAAGCACTGTCAAGAGCATGCCAAACCAACAGGTGGCGATATAATCTCAACCCTAAATCCATGTTGGCCAATCAGAAGCCTGAAAAAGTCTCCTGTAGGCGGAGATAACAGCGCAGGTGCCGACGTCACAAGCCAAAAACTCCGGTTTCGCTGTCTACACGATAACACTGCAACTGGAGTTTTTGAAAATCTTCACCCTGGCAGGCGTTTTCAAAAATGCTCGGTTTCAGTGAACTGGTGCTGTGTTTGCGTGTGGACGAATGGTCTAACCGCGTAGAAAAAGCTGCAGTTTTAAACATAACCGCGTTCGTGTGGACAGGGCCTAAGACCCCATGAAATCACTTGATGAGTGCAGCGTTGTGTTTCTCGCACTGATGTATTTCCTTTTGAGGAATGACATAAATGGAAGGGTTTTATTGCTTTAGTTAAATGTTAAATTTTTTATTATTATTAATTCATAACAATGTATTGTTATGATTATTATTGTTGTTGTTGTTTATAATAATAATAAAAACAATAATAAATAATTTTAATACAATATAAAAATAGGGGAAAAACATGTCATTGAACCATATCTCCATGTATAATTTAGTTAAACTTTTTTTTTACTTGATTAAAATGTAATCTAAAAATTAAAGTATTGTTACGTTTACGTTAAAGCTGTGAACTATGATTGTATCAACTTCTAAGAGTACACCAGCAAACAGATAATCAGGCATGAGCTAAACGGCACAAAACTTGAACAATGTTGAATTCATAGGATCTTTCTTACCATTTTCCTTTTGAAACACGTTTTTTTGTGCGATTCACAGATCACAGTTTAAAACTTGTGCAAATAAATGCTCCAGCTCTTACCTAGTCTGTTATCCAGGACTCCAAAATCCAGCGTATACTTGACGACATGGTAGTTATTCCACACATAGAGCAGATTGTCTCTGGGATTGTAATCCACGGCAGCGATGTACTGGTACGAGTTCGGGAAGGGGATGTCCAGATAGCCGTCTTTGCTCAGCTCCGTGTTGTAGATGTAGTCGATTTTATTCCCGGTGGCTTCGCTATCGTCGTCTTCGTAGACGGTCTTGACGACATACAGGATCCCACAGATCATGAAGGAGTTGGAAGCGGAGCGTTTGTCGTAGGCCGTATCCCAAGTTCCCTCCACACGTAACGTATACGGGTTGAGCTGGCTGATCACGATCCGTCCGTTGTTTTGCTCCGTGGCGTAAATCACCCAAAGACCGTTCTCGTCCACCGCCAAATCGATATCCGACTTGCCTCCCCAGCGATACGGCGAAGTGTCGTGGTAGTTTGCGCTAGCGATGATAGCCTCGCCGCTCTTGATGCGAGTGCGCAAATCAAACTTGACGATATTCCTAGTTCGCTCCTTGTTGAAGAACAGCGCGCCGTCGTAGACGACGAACCCGGTGCCGTCGACCCGATGGGGGAGCTTGTAGGTCGTGGTGGGTCGTCCTGCGATGAAATCCTCTTTGCTGGAGTATTCGGTGAGGGTGTCCGTGCGATACGGCGTCCAGGGCATGTAATAGATCTTATCTGAGGCCTGGAGGGGGTCTTTGCACCAAGCTCCCGACTGGTGGTCCGACTCGAATAGATGCTCGCTCTGATAAACGCCGCGTAAGAGCCCTGGGCACAGGAAAACTACAGACAAACAGAGAGAAAGACAAGTGAGCGCGGGTTTGAAAGCACTTCATGCTAATTTTCATTTGATACGACGGATAACGGCTCACTGCTGGGCACACGATCACATGATATGATAGAAATGTGTTGCTCAGTAGACACACATTTGCACTCTAAAAAATGATGGGTTAAATACAACCCAGCGTTGGGTAAAATATGGACAAACCCAGCGATTGGGTTCTTTTGACCCAGCAATTTGTAGTAACACAAATGCTGGGTCAAAACATTTGCACTCTAAAAAATGCTGGGTTAAATACAACCAGAGCCAATCCTCCCTATACGCAAAATAAGCAAGCTGCATAGGGCCCCCGAAACACCAGGGGGCCCCCTTGCTCTCAAAGATTTAATTTTGTTTTTGAATTTGGCCAGCTGTTTTGAAAGCATCAGTGATAATTTATTTTAATGCGGTGCGCTGTCGCCCTTTCTACGTAAAAATCAGTCAAATCATGTAATGTGAATGTCGTACAGTCTTGCTCGAGACTAAAAAAAACGAGTTGAAAGTGTATCGAGCCACGGAAGAGACACTGTTTCTCAAGCGCTTTCCGCGAGCGCGATTCGAGACGGAGTGAAACAT